TCGCTATTCATGGCCGCTTGTGATGGACAATGTCCAATATATATGTACTATGATGCGGGTATGATTGACATGATGGCGGAGGATTCGTTCCACAGGCACTGGCAGCCCCTCCTTTACATGTACATGGCCAGTACGTCAAGGCCCATCCACATGACGAGAGTTTGCGCCGTCAGGAGACCCTGGCAGCCGACCTCTGACCCCAGCCTACCAGTGACTTGGGCATCTTTGAATCGGAGGACGCTAACCGCTTACCCACTCCCATGGTCGCGCTGCCGTTGTAACCGAGCCACAGCTGCCAGGCTTTTGTTGTGGCTGGTGAAGACCAACATGGGAGCAATCGAGGCCGCGCGAGGCACAGCGCAAACGCGCCACTCGGCTCCTTGTACCCAAAGAACTATTTGCATCCGGCAGCGAGGGAATGCAGACTCGCAAAGTCTGGTGGGTTGGGAGGTTCAACCGGCAGAAGTCCCTGACGCAGCAACCTACGTCACTATGTTGTTAAGGGTCCTCACGCCGACGCCTTTAGTATACGTCTAGATCGACAATCCGCGGGGGGATCGGTGGTTTCTTGCTCTTTGCTCCATAAAAGCTCGGACCCACAAGACAGGACGGACTCCACTTAAGCTGCGAGAGGGCAAGCCTGTCCCTGCGTTTACAGCCACACCCACCCGCACGGTTTGTCCTCTCTCCTCCTTCGTACCTGTCTTGCCCTTGAGTCGCTGCACCGCCGAAACGGCATCCTCGCATGTACGTACCAAAGCATCCGAGCAACCTGTAGTGGGGCGCAAAGGGTTCGAGGACCCTCCCCAAGTGACAGGGGGATGCTGCCGCGGAGGAGCAGGCGGCAACGCATCCAGGACCGTACGACGAGGGGAAGGGGGATTCTCATCGCCGATTGACCTGCCGATCCTGATTTTGCAAAAACACAATGTCAGATGGCCTGCGGATGCACGATCTCGGGAAGGTTTCGAGGCCGACGGTGCTTCTTCCCCCCTTCCCCCCTTCCCCAAGCCCTCTGCCGTATTCTGCCTAGTTGGGCTAGGAGGGGCTCCCTCCCCATTAGCATCCTGATCCCTTTTGCCCTGCGCGACCCTAGAAGCACCTCTCTCTCTGTGTGTCGTGGTCTCGCGACTGTATGGGAATCGCATCTGGACGACGAGAATCAGGGAAGTGGTCACAGGCAGCCTTGTTCACGAGCATGTCCTCGCATCCAACCAACCCCGACGGCCTAGTCTGAGGAACCCTACCGCCTCTGGTGCATGCGCTACACTGCATCCGTACGTGCCATGTCTGGCATCGCAAAAGTCCATGTCCATGGCCCAACATGCCCATCGTGATCCTCCCTTTGACCCCTTTCCCTCCTTCAGTCTTTGCCTGCAGGCTGTGGTCCCCTTTCGCCCTCCCGCTTCCTGTTTGGACCCTGGAAAACCTGGATCTGGATCTGGGATCGAAGAATACCAACGGAACGGGATGAGCGAGCGCCCACATACCCCCCCCCCTCCCCCCCTCCCTCGAGCCAATTCCTGGCCTGGTGGTTTAGCCACTTTCCCGCGCCTCCTCGATCACATCACCGATCTGGGGGTGATCGTGATGCTGCTCTGTTTTCGGGCCCTCGTTCTCAGTCCGACCATCCAACCATTCATCCCCCCCCCCCCCATTTTGCAACCTTGTTTTTTTTCTCTCTTTCAGACAGGACCGGAGAGACTACTCCGGCACGACCATCATCTTGCGACCCTGTCATCGGCGTCGCGAACACGTCAGCAGCCGTTGCCCTGCCGAGTTTGATTTACCATGTAGCGCACGGTTGGTGAGGAGATGGAATTGTCGTCGATGCAATGCGATGCGATCCGACACGCCGACACGACACGGGGAGTTTTTTTTTTCTTTCTTTTTTTCGTCACGTCCATGTTGCTCTCATTCTTTGCTTCATGACCTTGAGCACCGCTGAGCCAATTCGGTCGTACTTCTTCACCAGGGATGTGGGTTCTATCTCCGCAACGGCTCAGGTCAGGATTACATCATGGGGGTCTCTCGAAAACGGCATGCATGTTGACACGTCCAAAACGGCGCGCAGAAACTGTGCGTCTCGCAGGGACGGTACATGGTACCTATGTCAGCAGCAGCCCAGGGCAAGGGCATAGCCAGGGGGCACCAAAACAGTACACCATGTACCAGCACCATGTACCAGTGCCATGTACCAACACCATGTATCAGTACCATGTACCAGTACCATGTACCATGACCGGGGGCGCGCAACCCCTCAGCCCAGCCCGGCCCCGGACTTATGCTCCGAGGGCAGGTCCCTGGGTCCAGACCGTTCGACAGCCTTGGGTGGTGGGTGCTCTTGCATCACCTCTATGGAAGACTCCCCCCATACTGACGTCAGGCTGATTCTGTCACGATCCGTCGTCGATCCTCCTTAATTCTAATTCTTCTCCACCCTCCCGCTCGTCGGCCCATGACCGTGCTCAAGGGAGGACGTCTTGGTTGCTGCTCCACGAGTTGCGCGCTCCCCCGGCTTTCCCGACTGCACCCCGCGCACGCAAGAAAGGTCCCCCGGCGCCCGGTTGCCCGGCAGCACCGCGATACCACAAGCATGGGCGGCATCACACACGACGCTGTGTTCGCCCAGCCTGTTTCTGTGGCCACCCCCAGTGAGCCAGAACAGATAGGCCTTCATGTCCGAGACGACAGAGTCAACAAGGAAAGACGTTCGAGCACCAGCACCGGCACCAGCACCAGCCCCAAGACTTGACCACAAAGACTACTCCTGATGGCGTCGTCAATAGAGTTTTAGGGACCCGAAGACTTCCAACCGATGACCAGACCCAGCACGGCTTTCGCCAACGACTAGTGCCACACACGGAGCGTGCCCCAGGCGGCACCCCCTTCTTGCCTTCAGCTGCAACCATCAACGGTATTGAGTTTTCGCCCAAAAACCCCCGCCGCTGACAACAAAGTACGTCCGCCGCCTATCCCCCTCCTTTCCGCCCACCCAACCATCCAAGCATCCTTTCCTTTTCTGAATTGGCCGAGTCCACTGGGCGGGACCCTGCGGCAATAGCATGGGCGAGAGGCTCGGAACCTCCAGACACTTGTTCCCCGTTGGCGCGCGAAGGGTCCAACAAAACAGAAGGCGCGAGTACGACCTTGCCAACGTTGACCAATGAGCGGTGTCACAATTCGTGATCTCACCATTACTAGAACGAGTGGGCTTGGGGGCTTTCATGGATGCGAGGTGGTTCTTTGTACAGATGCATTGTCGCTCGTTTGACCGCGTACAATTCTGGGGTCCAAGCCTCGCGACCTTCTCTGCCCGTGCACCAGACCTTCTCTTAGGAAGTCTGGGACGCGAGACTGTGACACAACGACGTGGGACTTGCCTGTCCTGACGTCCCCTGGGGTGTAAAAAAAAAGGAAGCAAAGCATATGGAACAAAGATAAAATCAATACCCTCCGTGATGAACGCCGCGCTTGTCCTCCCCCCCGCCCCCCCCCCCCCCCGGCATCCTCGTACTAATAAAAAAGGTCCCAAAGGCCCAGCCAAGCCCCCCCCATGGATGTTGTCCTCTGGGGGGGGCCAAAAAA